AATCTCTGCAGTTGGGTTAATTGCACGGGGGCAGCATGACTGCCAAGCAGCGCAAAGCAGGCAGAGGGCGGACTGAGAACAATGCTGGGGCTTTCGTTGCTCCGGGCCGGACGGAAGAGAGGGAGGCCGGGGGTCCCAGGCACAGGGAAGCCTGGGCTTGGAAGTGCCGAGCCGCGCTGGGGCTGCTGTTGCTCGGGGTGGCCGCCGCCGGGGTCGCTGTGCTGGGCTGGCTGCTCGTGCACCAGCTGGAGACGCTGGAGCAGCTGGGAGAGACTGTGGAGAAGGTGCGGGGCCGCCTTGAGGAGCTGGAAGTGCTGAAGGAGCAAGTGCAAAGGACGAGAGAGCAGGTAGCGGGGTGCTCGGGGGTGGGCCGGGCTCCGCAGCTCCGGCAGCGGGGGGTAAGTGATTTGGGAGCAGGGGGCTGTTGTTCTTACCTGCATTGGGCGCCAGGGCTGGCGGGAAGACGGGGGGGGTTATATTAGAGCATCTCGTGAGGGACTGTTGGAGGGGTCTCCAGTTCTCATGTATTGGCTGTTATTGGAGAGCTGCTAGGCGGGATTGCCCGCCCCGGGTGAGGGCTGGGATTGAGTGGGGGCACGGGGCAGAGAACAGTCTTGTTGGCTTTGGGGGGTGGGTTCCCTGCGACGCCACAAAAAACTTTTCCAGGCTCTAGAGATCCACTAACTCTGCTGGGCGGGGGGCATGGAGTTCGCTCTTCCCAGCTGTAGTTTGCATTCTTCACCTCTGAGCCCCTTGTGTGTCCTCCTGGCCTGTTCTAAAGCAATGTCCTCTTCTATCTCTGCACTCTGGATTTCCTGTCTACACCCCATGGTCAGAGAAACGAGGAACAGCCGCTCCAGAGGCTCCCCCAACTGTGTGCAGGATAAGGGAGGGAGGCTTGTGAAAGAAAGTAGGACTGTTATTTTGGTCCAAAATCAGGGACATACTTGAGAATTATGATGAACGTGACACAGGTAGAGTCCCCAAACTGCCCCCCCTCCCAAATCCACAGCTATGGCTTCTCAAATTGTAGCTATCCATGGATTAGTGGGACAGGAATGCATATTGTGTGAGCGGAGTCACTAGGATGGTTTCTTCTCTTGACCTGCCTGCAGCAGGACACAATGGGTTTATAGAGCTGACTTCCATATTAGGGTGGAAATGAGCTCAGTCTGTGTATCAGGCTCCTCTGTGGGTGAATTTATGGCATGAACAAAGGAACTCTGGCCTGGTTGTCAGTCTCTTTATTACAAGGTATAGGATGGACTGCCAGGTCCAGGGTGAGATGCACTGGGGCATAGGACTGGAAGGGTATCGGGTTGAGGGGAGCTGGCATTACTGTATGGAGTAAGACTGTTACTGGTTTTATTCAATTCTTGCTCTTGCAGGCATTGAAATTCATTTATGGCTGTGTGCCTCTTGGGGCAGAGCTTCTACCCATCTGGGACACATTCTTCTCCTGGGTCTCCCTCTGGGGCAGTGCAGCTCCTCACAGTCCCTTGTTCTTGGCTCTGTAATCATGGTCCAGCCCTACATTTCTTCACTGAAGTTACTGAGACCATCACGTGTTTGAAGGAAGCAGAATCTATTGTTGTTTGTTATCAAGTGCTTGGGCTGCATGTAAGGACGGGTGGTGTCTATATATGACACAAGCTTTAGACACATTTGGCGTATGCACCAGAAATTATTTCAAGTGCAGTGACTTAGGTCAGTGGTTCTCAAGCAGGGGTAAGTGTACCTCTGGGGGTACTCGGAAGTTTTCCAGGGAGTACATCAACTCATCTAGATATTGGCCTAGTTTTACAACAGGCTACACAAAAAGCATTAGCGAAGTCAGTACAGACTAAAATTTCATAGACAATGATGTGTTTATTAGGGTTACCATATTTGAACATTCAAAAAAGAGGACACTCCATGGGGGGGTGTCAGCCCCGCCCACAGTCCACCCCCCTCCTCCCACGCTCCACCCCCACTGCCCCAGGTCCCGCCCCCCTACCCGCTTGGCCCTGCCACCGCACCCCTCCTCACTCCCTGGCTCGCTGCGACCCTCCTCAGTCCCCCCACCCACCGCTCACCTCCTCCCACCTGTCACTCACCTCCTCACTCCCCTGCCAGAAACCCCCATGCGCACCCCGAGAACCTCCGCCTGCCATTGGCTCGCCGCTTCTTGCCTCCTCATCCCCGCCTGCCCACCCGCCGCTGGCTCGCTCGCCTCTTCAACACCCGCTGCTGGCCTTTTCAACCCCCCCGCCGCTCCCCCACTCACCCCTCACCTACATAGGGTGACCAGATGTCCCGATTTTATAGGGACGATCCCGATATTTGGGGCTTTTTCTTACATGGGTGCCTATTACCCCCCACCCTCTGTCCCGATTTTTCACACTTGCTGTCTGGTCACCCTACACCTACTCAACCCCCGCTGCTCCCCGCTCGCCTCTTCACCCTCCCCGCTCGCCAACTCATCCCTCCTGCCGCAGGTCCCTCTTGCTCCTAGGATCAGGGGCAGCCGAGGGGTCTCCATGTGCTGTGCCTGCCACAAGCGCACGCTCCATGGCTCCCATTGGCCGGGAAAAGCGCCAATGGGAGCTGCCGGAGCCGTGGAGCAGGGCTTGCAGGCGCCGGCAGCGTGCAGAGAGCTCTCCGCGCCCCCCCAGCCTGACCCAACCATAAGAGCCAGAGGACCTGCCGGGGGACGAGGTGGGGAGTGCTGGCGGCGCTTACCTGGGGCGGCTCCCAGGAAGCATCTGGCAGGTCCCTCTGGCTTCTACGGGTGTGGGGGAGGAGGGCGGAGGGCTCTCTGTCTGCTGCCTGCGCCTGCAAGCCCCGCCCCTGCAGCTCTTATTGGGCAGGAGGGAGCCGGTGCAGCATGGGAGCTGCCCCTGGAAGTGCCGCTAGCCCTGGGACTTTGGACTTGGGGTTACCATATGTCTGTATTTTCCCGGGTGTTTTTAGACATTTTAAAAATTCCTCCCGGATGGCGATTTAAGAACTAAAAAGTCGGACATGTCTGGGAGAATACGGATGTATGGTAACCCTATGTTTATACTGCTGTGTACTGTACAATGTAAATACAGTATATCCCAATTGATTTATTTCATAATTATATGATAAAAATGAGAAAATAAGCAATTTTTCAGTAACAATGTGCTGTGACACTTGTATTTTTGTTTGATTTTGTAAGTTTTTTAAGTGAGGTGAAACTTGGGGGATACACAAGACAAGTCAGACTCTTGATGGGGTACAGTAGTCTGAAAAGGTTGAGAACCACTGTCCTTGGTATTCATCTGCGGTGAATGCAGAGGTCTTTAAAATAGCCCTCAAAAGATGGCTTACGTGTGTGACGGGTTTGATCACAGAAACCCCCTGGGAGCTGCTACTCGATGTGCCAAGACTACTACTACCCCTGCTTTCCCTGCCAGCTCAGGACTCCAGTACCCTGTCTTGCTGAGCCAGACACTCCCATCTGTTCCAACAAAGACCCAGGGTCTGAATTACTTGCCCCAGCGCTGCAGGTTTACCTGAAAGCAGGTAACAGAAGTGTTCCTGTCTTTAACACTCAGATGCCCAACTCCCAATGGGGTCTAAACCCAAATAAATCCGTTTTACCCTGTATAAAGCGTATACAGGGTAAACTCATAAATTGTTCGCCCTCTATAACACTGATAGAGAGAGATGCAGTTATTTGCTCCCCCAGGTATTAATATATACTCTGAGTTAATTAATAAGTAAAAAGTGATTTTATTAAATACAGAAAGTAGGATTTAAGTGT